ATTGTCGACATGACTGACCTAATTGAAATTCATAATCTATGTCGGTTCCTTCATCTCAAACGAAATGTTGTAAATCGCCATCGGCAAATCCAGAAATTGAGCCATTTTTCAAACTATTTCAGCTAGCGTTAATTCTTTTGTTAGTCCAACTTTATTTGGGTATAGTTCCCTTTTTAAGTGGGTAGAAATCGATGTACTAATTATCAGTAGTACTATACTATCTTCCTCACGGCTGCGGTCGGTACTGAGACCCATGTGGATATTTTCTGGTTTCATTTCCATTCGTGTGCACAGAAATGCTTTAAAATAGGGCTTGAATAATTCAGTGAACAGCGAATTTATGATTTCAGTGCATTGAAACATTCATCAATGTTACAGAATTTTTCAATTCTTGAAAAATGTTTGGTGTTAAAAGTAGAGACGTTTGGTCGCTGGGATGAAATTTCCCTTCGATTTTTTTATATCCTGTACATGGTTATAAAAGCGCGCGAAGATGAGTCACGTGATGTAAACACAGTCGGCCCTGCGAAAGGCGTGAATAAAATGGAATTACTATCGTTATTTATTTTCAGGCAAGTCATTTATTCATATAACATAACGATTTCTTCATAAATAAACATCGAGTTGCATTTCGAGCTAAAATTACGGCGAATATGAGTCACAGGAACTTGGAATGGATTTTTCTTCTTGTGTAGAAATGATGTCATAACAAGGCAAAACTACGCGATTTATTTTTGACAAAATTGCCCATTGTATACAATTTTCAAATGCTCGGCGGTGGTTCTTAAAATGCTCCGATTTTGTTGATTTTAATAGCATTGAAATGACAATAAAACGAACTTTCGATCGGTCAGGGGTGCTATATTGGCAAATCGCCTCACAAAAAGATTACGTGAATTGAAGCGTTCAACTTACAAAAAAGGCATGGTATTTCGAAATGCCGACAAAGCACCCCCGACTGATCAAAAGATCGTTCAATTACCTCATTTCAAAACGTGACAAAAATTTTCAGCGTAACTTCAAAACACGGGAAATTGACGTTTTTCAACTTACGTTTATGAAATTAATAAAATGAACACATATATAAAAATTATATCAAGCAAAAGAACAGGATATCGGCTTCCAAAATATTTTAAAATTATTACAAAATATTAAATAGCCACCGTTGACATTAAGTTGAAAAAGGGTTACAAATCGGGAATAAATGACTTTCTTCCAACGCGGGCAATGGAGCTGTGACACCTAGTAAATATATTCGAAATCGTTTACGTGCGAAGTGCCAAAATATGAAATGTGGAGGGTCGATGGTCGAATAGGAACACAGTGTATTCAAAGCCGCCATATTGGAAGAATTCAAGCGCGAAGAATAGAGCAGCGATGCCAATGCGAAAACGAGCGCGAAAGCCAAAGCCTTGACCAAACAATCTTTTAAGTGACGTAAATATCGCGACTATAGGCCAGAGTAGACAGAATTAATGAACAAATTTTGTCTAGTGATACAAGGGAAAGCGTAAAAAAGTGTGAGTGCTAAGTACTTTGACCTAAATATCAACGGGCACCACGCGCAAGGAACTAGGGCAGTTTAAGACGCGTCGACAGTGTGCACCAATGCAAGAACCAAAAAGACTTCAGCAACGTAAATGACAGAATTAGCGGCTCCAAAAACATAAATTTCGAAGAAATTCCTTTCTAAGCAACAATAGCTAGTTGGGATATAAAATTACCTGTAATAAGTCGTAACTAAGTGTGCCGTGCGTATACTGCCAGTTGGAATTTACTTCAACCAATTGACCTACAAAAAACGGGCACCACACGACTGTTAAACTTAACGGATCTATTGATCAATGCAAATATCAGGTAGGACAAACTTAACTTATCAATTCCTTGAAGCGTTGTCCGTATCCAGGAAACAGAGGTGCGGCAATTACACTGTTGAAATCCAGGAACAAATTTGTTGCAAGTTTCTTTCTAGTCTCGTGTTGTCTACAAAGGTACCGGTACTGCAAATAACACTGTTGAAATAGGTTTTGCAAATTTCTTTCTTCTAATACAGTATTACAGGTATACAACTCTGTGTTAAAATTTTTGAGTCAGTAAACTGATTAGTACTATACGAGTGGCTTTAGCAAAATATGTCCACAGTTAGGCAGGAGGAATGTACGAATGATTGGCACAAAGAATAGAGGATCATGGGAGGAAGTGGCAGCAATAAAAGTATCCGATTACCAGCTACAGCACTGGGTATTCAAACAATAAAGTAATCGACACAAATACTATATTATTATCATAATATTCATTTATTATTAAGGCTAATCGTTTAAATTGCCATAGTTCTAATGTTATATGTGACCGGCCGCATCTAAATGAGTCGAAATGCGCAAGAATCAATAATGAGATAAAGACAAAATAAGTGAAAATATTGATTTTTCAACGAAATTGAGATTTTCACAAAAATAAGTCTATTAATATACTATCTATCGACACAGAAGATCAAAATAGCAATAAAACATTTTAAAACACCTGTATTTGAACGTTTTGTAAGCGTACCGCATTCTTAAATATGTCCTATTTCTTAAAATTCTCGGCGAAATTAGTTATTTTTCTTCGCTCGCAGTGGGACGACCGGTCATTCCTTTTGTATAACAATTGGCATCGTTGTAAAGCGGAGCATCTCTAGTTTATAAATATGATCAAAATATTGTCGGTGAATTGATTTTAAACGGATACAATCAAGTTTTAAACCCCTCCAAATGTTGCCATGCCGTTCACACAACTCCTTTGCTGATTGGCCCAGACACCGCGTGCAAGACATTATCGATAAATATTTGGTTTTGGCAATGTTTTGGGGTACCTACATGCGATTCACTCTGATTAGTGGCAGAAAAAAAAAATTAATTCTGATCGTATACATTGCCGTTGAGTGTTAATCGAAACCACGTGGCTGAAGATGTAAATTAATCGACAATCGGGTGTGTGTAATTGAGTACTACTATTACTAATCAACTGTCACGGGTCAATGATAAAGCCGTTGACAACTCATTATTTACTCCGAACAATTAATCCAAGTGGTGATTGTTTGATATCTCATATCATCTTTAAAAAAAATAATCTATAGGCCTTAAATTGAAATAAACAAAATGGCCAATAATGTTCTTTTCGAAGAGAATTTTATTGATAGCTGAATTCCGTTTACCGTCGCTTCTTCATACGGCATGCAAAGTAAGGAATGCATTTGGGATATTATTGTTTAAAATTCTCTTATCACCATGGGTTGAAAAAATGAGAGTGGCCAACGAGCTGAAATGCGACGATTCTCGAGTCTGCCATTGAGTATCCTCTGAATAATGTTGATATTTACATCAAAGCCAAAATGCACGAAAGTGAACGTAAGCATTGACTTTGAAATTGACATTTCTATAGGGACTCATATTTTGATAACGTCGCGGTACCTGAAAATAATAATAGACCTATCGTACACGCAAAATCTTATTTTAATTCACGTGTTAAATGAACACGCGTACAGCTGTTGCGGCTTCTTTGATGATAATCCAATCAACAATCTTAATCTCCTGATCACTAGCTGACACTAAGGTGCTAATTAATTGATGAGATTAACTGAGTTAATCTCACTAAAGTTATATTATACACAACAGACTACTAATGTATAGATTGTTCTTCAGTATAACACTATCGTGTGAATATTATGCCGTATGTGTTGTGGATGTTTCGTTACGAAAGGAGTGCATTTATTACGATTTTCGTCGTCAACGCCCTTGAAATCCTAAATAAAAACATATTAAACGAAAAAATATAGCAAATAAATTGTGGAAATAATTGGATCAAATTTTTACTACGATTTTTGTCTTCAGCAATACTGAAAACCCATGGAAAGATATATTCAACGACAAAACAGCAAATAAATGGCCTGGTTCCTATGGGATTTTGTTTTGGAACATACCAAATCTTTGACTTGCTTTTTCTCAAAACTTACTTTTGTAAGTTGGGTAGCTTCTAATGGACATAGCTCAGTCAATTTTGCCCAATTCAAACAAACTATACATCAAATTGAAGGTAATGAGTTGGAGAATGTGAAAATAACAATAACTCAATTTTCCAAATTTCCTCATTGTGACTCAGTATGCTGTGGGGGGTCACATATATTGTATAACTTGTGAGTTTTGTAAGAAACAGTATTTGGCCAAACTATCACCCCCTTTAGTACCAGACTTAATAGTCATAAAGTAATATTAAATTGAAAAAGATTGGAAAATCACCTCACATAGCCCCATACTTTAATAAACCTGGTCATGAATCTTATGTCTGCACTTTGCCGGATAAAATCCCTCAGAACAATAGAGCCAAACTCAATATTGCTGAATCACTTTGGATCCACAGATTAAACACTGTATGGCCTAGTGGTTTAAATGAAATGCCTGTAAATTAATTCTACACCCCTTTTTTTAACCATACATCATTTATTTATATTTAGTCTATATTATGTCATCAAAGTTATAAGGTCATATTAACATTATGACATCACTTATAGTTACCATGACTAACCTTGTACCCGTATTCAAATGTATCATTTGTGTAGTTGCACTCTCTGAAGAAGTAAGTTTTTACACTTACTAAACGTTACATTCTATAAAGATGGTTTTGTGATACCCAAGACTTTGTTTTTAACCACGCCTACTACTGGTGACACCCTATCAAGTTTATTATGACTTGGATCCCCTCTAAGTTTATGTTATTCAAATAGTTTTGGATTCCTCTCTCTTTATATTTATTTGGATTCACATGAAAATGTGGGCGTATAAAAATGTAGCCTATATTGCGTTCACAAGCAAATTGTTGACAGACGGAACAGACCTACAGGGTGACGACACAATACAGTACACCCACGCTGAAATGTGGTTGTATAAAAATGATATTGATCATCTACATGTATCAACACAATGCTGAACACCATAAAAAAAAAAAACCAAAAAAAAAAAACTAACCTGTTGTTAATTTGTCATAAAGTATAGTTGATTTGCCTCTTTCTAATCGATTTTTAGCCCGAGATACCATCATAGAATTTTTACTGTCACTGCGTCTATTAGATGGTATCACCGGCTGTCTTGTTTTATCCGTTTTGTGCTCTTCAGTTATTTCTGGCAATCCTACTTTTGTTGTAAGTTTTTTCTTATATTTGCCAAGTTCTGATGACGGTCTTGCAATTCGAAAATCTTCATCAATAACTGTCTTGTCTTCCTCACTATTATTGTCACTGCATTTGGAAAGGGGTTCTTTCATAGACAAAGTTTGCCATTCACGAGTCACATAAACTATATCTGCAATTAATTCTTGGTAACTAGATAACATTTGATATTCTAAACTTTTAGGAATAATTTTTACAATATTCTTGTAACGATAAATGAAACTTGCTAATTGTTCTAATGTATTGCCAGCTGTAAATTTTGCTTCTTCAAATAAATATCTTTGTGAATCTTCATCATTTGAAAGTATAATGTTTTGAAATGTGGTATTTATTTCAGACATAATACTTCTTTTACCTAGTACGTCCATCATTTCATCTTGTTTTTGTTTTTCTTTGTTAGCCATTAATGCGGCAAGCTTTGGATTAAGATGCGCAAACTTCAGACTTTCAGGTAATTCCTCAGGAAGTTTACGAAAACGCTTTGGTGTCTCGCGAAAGCGGGTTTGCTGATAAAAATAACAGTCTTGAGTTCCCATCCTTGATTTCTAAAATCAGCTAAAATTAGTTTAAATCTTCATAATGCTGAAATTATATAACATATGTTGCAGCAATCAATATATTCATCAGCAACTTTGTCATACAGCTTTCATAAAGATAGGTTGCCAGGCAACAAAACATATGCCCACAGCAGCTAAGTCATCAGAGCAGTCAACAAGAGTTGTCGCATATTTTTTCTATTGTCGGTAATGAAACATTTATAATACAGGGCAATTCCGTGAGTAACAGACTGGACATTTGGAGAAGGTTTTTATCAGTCCGCTTTTAACTGAGAAATACACGATGGTACTAAATATTTGGCATATTGATATAGTGATCTTGCAGAATCATTTTTAATACAAAACAGTATGACATACTTCTAAACAAATTTCATTCACTACTTCTCAAAGTCATGGTAACAGACTGACATTCTCGCAACCTAATGTTGATGGCCCACATACTCAGTATGGAATTCCTGTGAAGTTTGTAGATTTACAAAATCTTTGTATGTAATTGATAGATATCCTTTATACAAATGTTAAATTCTTTCACTTCTGGCAATTTTTTTCCATATTAGAAGTTAAATTGCCTTTGGTAACAGACTGACATGGTCCATAAAAGTCCGACGCATTCTGATTAAAGATAATTTTAAAAAATTTGGACGTAGCACCCCTCCGTCTTAACAACAGTAAGAAAACTGTAAAATGAAACACAATGAAAAAAAATAAATAAAAAATTTAAAAAATTAAATAACATAAGTAGGGTTTGTCAATTTGCCTAAGCCCATTGTATTGCTATCACTCAAGGGTGTGCTGTACAGAAATGATTTCCATTAAATTTTATTTGCATATAACAGCCTGGTAATGATAAATATACTATTTATTTGTCCTGTTGCTATTAAATCTATGAGAGCTGTTTATTTATATGCGTGCACATTAGATCATAAGGTCCATCATTGAGTCAAGTGCCAGTGTTTCGATTCACTGCTTGTACATGACAAGGAGTAGGGTCTCTTGTCCAACCTCATGGGCCTTTCTGGTTACCCCAAACAGCTAAAGACCCCTACGTGCACATGCATTATTGAAAAAAAAAAGTCCAGAAATGCCTAGCACAGGTTGCGTCGACGTTGAACCCCATTTCTCTAATTATATGCACTTTAGATCAGAAGGTCAAGTGACATGGTTTTGAATCCAACCTTGTTTGTAACAAGGAGTAGGGTCGTCTGTATAGCCTCTTGTGTTTTCTTTGGGTTCTCCAATTTCCTCCTTCTGCGTTCAGAGCTGAACTATGTGCAGACGAGTATTGATATTTGCAAAGTGAATTCCAGTGTTTATAAGTGAATTCTGGTGTTCATTAGTAAATTCCAGCGATTAGTTTACCTGCCTTTTATAAATGAAATGAAATGAAATGTGGTTTTATGGCACATCAGCTCCAACCGGGCTATATTGCGCTAACCATATAGTGAATTTATTCAAGACAAAATAAATGAAATCACAGAAATATATTTATATCCATAAATAAAAACAAGTATCACAGATAATATATAAAATTAAAAATAAATATCAAATACTTTATGAATATAAACAATTAAAGTGAAAGAAAACGGGTTACATATATACAATTAAAACTTATAATAAAATTTTGTCTCTTTTAAAAAATTTAGGATCTTACAATATAACTCCGGTTGAGCAAATAAATGTTGTAATGTCTGACAGCTGTTATATTTTGATCTAATATTTCCAAGATACTTGCACTCAATCAAAATGTGCTTCACCGTCAAAGGAACATGACAGTGTTCACATTCTGGTTGAGGCTCTCGCTTCAAGATGAAAATGTGAGTTAAAAAAGTATCACCAATGCGAGAGCGACACAAAACAACTTCATCCCTCCTGTTAGTTCTATAGGAGTTGGGCCAATCTCCTAAGAGAGGCTTAATGTGATGAAGTTTGTTAGTGCCTGCAAGATCCCACGACCGTTGCCAACGGCCATAAATTAAATGATTAATTGAATGTTTAAAATCCTTAGATGGAATTAAAAAGGGTGATTGGGGAAGATCTAAAGCAGCTTTGGCAGCAAAATCTGCTTGATCATTCCCCCTTATATCTACGTGACTGGGGAGCCAGCAAAAGACGACTACTTTGTTGTTGAACTCGTAAGATAGTAGCAGACGATAAACATCTGCTACTAATGGGTGTTCAAGCTGTTTGTTGTTAATTGCTTGAAGCGAGGACAAAGAATCAGTAAAGATAATATACTTTAAAGTTGAAGAGGATTGTATGAACTCGTAGGCCTGAAAAATGGCCTGGAGCTGCCTTTTATAAGGTCCATGGTTTATATTATACAACATTTAAGCCCGAAAGAAAGACCTGCAATATTAGCCTAGGCCTATAGGCAGATTTAGCTCTTGCATAGGCCTTTGGAATTAGGGCCACTGTTCGTGCAAAATTTCATTCATTACACACTACATGGCGTAGGCCCCCATGCCCAATTTCATTAGCCCCACTGGAGCAGAACAAATAGGCTTGCCAGGGCAGTAGCGCTAGTATAGGACCTTTAAACCCCATATTTATGATTTCATTTTACGCCTTTAATTAGCGACCGGCGCCACTGCTAGAGGACTCAGACAGTGTTGTGCACAGCTATGGACAATTATCAACCTCACTCCATCTATTTGTAGGTCATGTTATTCTGACGGAATTTGGGTCGGAAACCGAGTGAATCTCTTAGAGAGTATCCAAGTGTGTCTGAAAAAAATGGTTAATGGCGGTTGACATGCGGTAAATTGGCTTTTAATAAATTGTTGAATTTTTCTTTTTTATTAAAATTGTCTGATATGCGCTGATACGCTCAAAGTTTAACTTACAATTATGAAAATAAACACTAAATTAGTGATCTAAAATATTGCTGAGGACGGAAACCCCCGTGGAAAGTGGCAATTCCTGGAAATCCCTCCTCCATCACAATACGGACACAGACCACAGTTAATACCTCAACTGACTTTGACAAAAGAAAATGTGGCTTGTCATTCAGTGTGTATTATTAGATTTATAAGTGTAATTTAAAATGCAGATGCAATTTTTGAAAATTGAATTAATGCAGTCCATTTATAGTTGACTTCCAAAATGCTTGGGAAGAAAATATATTTGTACCTGTTGCATAAAGGTATTAATTTACTTTTACAGGATTGTGCATGTATGAATGATGAGTGTGAGATTAAAATGTACATTAATAAATCATAAATACATGAATATACAGTTTGGTATGCATAATAAAATTGCTGTGCTGGCCATATAAACTTTTAATTGACTTAATTTTTTTAAATCTTTTGTATTTTCAGTAGTATGGTAGACCTACATGGTAGCTACATAAATAAATATGATCCTGATTAATAAATAATTTGTTTGTTTTTTTAAAAAAAATTTTTTTTGGTGGGGGGGGGGGGGGTAATATTTTCATTTTATTTTCATTCTTAGTTTATTCTATTCTGTTTTGAATACTATACGACAAAGTTTTGTTTTTAAATATTTTGATTATATTTATGATTATGAATAAACTATTCAAGGTATGTGTCATGTGCTTGTATGGCTGTGTTGATACATAAATAAGCTTCATTTTGGTGAAAAATTATGTCTCTAGCCTAGCTCTTTTCGTTTCTCAGATATGGAGTGGGGCTGAAAATGGAAGCAAAATGGCTGATTTCGCGAAAAGTGGGGTCTGCCAGTTGGTGTCACTAAACGACAGTAACTCTGTCAATTCTGCTCCCATTTTAAAACCAGCGGCTGCCAGGCAGGATACGTCCACATTTTGCAAGAGATGGATAGAGAACAAGCTAAAAAGAAACAGGATTTTTTGTACAATTAGGGGCAATAATCCAGAAAGTTATGGTCTGAAGTGCGCAAATATCAAAAGGGACTGAGATCTTTGGGATATAAAGATATGTTTTAAGTTTCATCAAAATCGAATAAAAATTGTTACCTCTAGAGGGTCCACAACCTTGATATTACATACTTTTACACAATTGCGAACAAAGAGCAGCAATTTTGTTGGGCAGTTTCATTTCGATTTTCCCGAATTTCGAATTCAACCGTCATTATGTTGGAATGGTGGTATATTTAAACGGTTTTTAAAATCGGAAAAAAAGTTCTGACCTCTAGAGAATCTGCAAGCTAAAAATGTGATTTTTCGAACAATCAGGGGACATAATCCAGGAAGTTACATTTGGATATGTGCGATTATCAAAAGGAACCAAGATCTTAGTGTGTAACGGTGATATATTCACATGTTTTTTTTAAATCGGATAAAAATTGTGACCTCTAAAGGGACCACACGCTAAAAATGTGATTTTCTGTACTATCATTAAGGGCCAATAATTCAGGAAGTTACAATCCGATATGCGCGAATATCAAAGGGAACCAAGATCTTTTGGTTATAAACATGTGTTTCAAGTTTCATCAAAATCAGTTCAAAATTGAAATTGTGACCTCTAAGAGTGTCCACAACCTTGATAAACCAATATCGAAAGGAACCGAGATCTTTGGGAGATAATCCTATATTTCAAGTTTCGTTGAAATCGAATAAGAATTTTGACCTGTAGAGTGTCCACAAACAATTGTGGACGGACGGACGGACGTCCCGACCGACGGACGTCCGGACGGACAGGGGCAACGACAATATACGTCCACTTGAAAATGTGGGCGTATAAAAATTGGCGTTGTTTAAATGCTGAGATGTGCAGCTTTGGGAAAATAACAAGGTTATCGAAAACAAATTAATATTTAAAAATAGCTGCTTGTAGCTAGTTCAAGTTTACGTAATTATTTAATCTTCTGTACGGTTATTGCAAACATTAGAAAATAAACTTCCCGAGCTATGTGTAAAATGTTTGCATGATTGTGTTGGTGCGTAAATAAGCTTTATTTTGGTGAAATAATTATGTCTTGGTTTCTGAGATATAAAGTGCGATTGAAAATCGATGCAAAATAGCCAAACATGCATTTCAAGTTTCATCAAAATCGGATTAAAATTGTGACCTCTACAGTCCGATATATGCGAATATCGAAAGGAAACGAGATCTTTGGGTTATAAACTTACATTTCAAGTTTCAACAAAATCGGATAAAAATTGTGACCTCTATAGGGTCCAAAAGCTAAAAACGTGATTTTTCGAACAATCAGGGGCCATAATCCATGAAGTTTAGATTCGATACATGCCAATATTGAAAGCAGCCGAGATCTTTTGGGGATAAACCTATATTTCAAGTTTCGTCAAAATCGGATAAGAATTGAGACCCGTAGAGAGTCCACAAACAATTGTGGACGGACGGATGTCCGGACGGACAGGGGCGACGGCATAATACGTCCACATGAAAATGTGGGCGTATAAAAAGGTGATTTTTAGTACAAACATGGGCCATAATCCATGAAGTTTCGATCCGATACATGCCAATATCGAAAGCAGCCGAGATCTTTTGGGGATAAACCTATATTTCAAGTTTCGTCAAAATGGGATAAGAATTGTGACCTGTAGAGAGTCAACAAACAAATTTTGGACAGACGGACGGACAGGGGCGAAGACAAGATACGTCCACATGAAAATGTGGGCGTATAAAAATGGCAGTGGCTATTGTTATGAGTCGTAAAAATAGTCCTCACCAGGCTATTGTTACAATGATGCTTTCAGAGCCCTCAACCCTAACCCTAGTCAGACCCAGATCCAGGATTTTGTCGAGGGCATGCATTGGAACAAAGGGTAATCATCAGAGTGCCACATGCATTAGTGGTTTGCATTAGTGGCGTGGGCTGGGGGGGGGGGAGGGTACGGCCCCCAGGATGCAGGCCTGTAGTGAAGTTGAAATCCATTGATTCAAGAGGAGTAATAGAAATTGATGGTCGTAACAATAGCCACAGGACTATTTTTACGACTATTCAGTTTTTAACTTCGCCGATGGAGGGTTCTGAAAGCACCATCGTAACAATAGCCTTAGGAATATTTTTACTAGCTACGAGAACGTAGTGAAAAACGTTGAGATATACTGATGTGTTTGGTTTTAGCTACGATTGGATGCCTTAATTAGTTCCAAGTGGCAAACTCAGTTTCTATATTAATGCACGTAACATCTTAAAAATAAGATAATTTATACTATTATGACCAATTAAACTTACAGAGGCCAATGTATGGCACAACTATCGCCTAAGTAACACCAAATATTCGCGTTTGAAGTGTTGTTTTTATCGTCATACATCTCCTGTTTAAAAATGGCGTTCTTCGTAATGGCTTAACGCCTCGATTTTAAATACGATGATTCAAACCCGTTTTAGGTAGGATTATAATGCTTAATGTAGTTGGGTGTGGCAGAAATATAAATAACAATAATTTTATTAATCAATCGTTGTTTTGATGAAAAATATTGTCAGTTTTGCTTACTGAATCCCGATGCGATTCGCGTTGGGATTAAATTGCTACCTGGAACTATATAGGACCATCTCTTAATCTCGAACCACGGAGGGTTGAGAGGTGAGGTTTGTTATCTATATTTTTACGACTCGTCGTAACATAATAGGCAATACTCCAATGGCAATAGCCACTCTGCCCACTCATCGTCTCATGACTCATCTCATGCCTTTAAAAATAGCTGCCGGTCGCTACTTTAATTTTGGGCTTACCGATACCTGTTCCAAGCGAATTATTTTTTCCAACAAAATAAAAATTTATTTAGAATTTTGTCCTATATAAGAAAATAGTGTTCATATTTTTAATCCGTTACTTTAGAGTTCAAGTATACAGCTGTCAGAGTGAGGAAAGAGTACCTGTTGATTTTTCCGCCATCTTTGTCAGTAGTTGTTGACAACACGGTCAAAGGTGAACTCAGTTCCTTGGCAACCAAAGCGCTCTTCAATGAGGTAAGCCACTCGGTAAACTTCAGCAGATTCTAGCAATGACGTCTATACACTACCCAGCGGGCACACAACGTTGTGACAACATTGTTCAGGGGTTGTATCACAACGTCTGAAAAAGGTCAGCTGTAGGTTGTTTTGCAACAAACTCTTACGTTGTGACAACGTTGTACGGACGTCAAAGCAACATTGTCACAACGTTGTGTGGTGGTTGACGAAAAGTTGTGACAACGTTGTACGGACGCCAAAGCAACATTGTCACAACGTTGTGTGGTGGTTGACGAAAGGTTGTGACAACGTTGTACGGACGTCAAAGCAACATTGTCACAACGTTGTGTGGTGGTTGACGAAAAGTTGTGACAACGCTGTACGGACGTTCAAGCAACATTGTCACAACGTTGTGTGGTGGTTGACGAAAAGTTGTCACGACGTCAGAATTTGTTGTTTTTCAACGTTGTGTGGTGGTTGGCGAAAAGTTGTCACGACGTCAGAATTTGTTGTTTTGAGGTTGTATAAAACCCAGTATAAGCCCCATCCGAACTCCCTACAGTTCTACCCCCACTGGACTAACGAAGACGGGAATAGGCGGCCGGGCACGATGGAAGTTAAATTAGGTGTGTGTTCGGGGAAGGGAGGGGGGGGGTTGCTTAAATGCCCGACAGATTTGGGCCACGGTTTTGACATAGTGAAACGATACGCGAAGTTTCAACACCCTCACTCAATTAGAATCAAAGTTATTGTGTCCCATCACAACCAATCTAATTGCTTCTTTCTGAATACAATCAGTATCAATTAATAGGACAGTACGTAGTTTCAAAACATTCAATTCAAACGATTATATTACAGTCAATATTAATGCTAGAGTCATATAACTTTGCAGTAATGGGTAAAGGTAATAGAATCTGATCATTAAATTTTAAGTAATGGTCATGTAATGAGTAATGGAAGATTTCAAAAGTAATGAGTAATGGAAATGTAATTAATTACATTCCGAAAATCATGTAATGGTCAATTACATTTCAATTACATTTAATGGCGCATTCTTTGAATGGCATTTAGTGATTAGAACATAATCAAATAACGCACTTTTATGGAATAACAATTACTATGGTTTATTTCACTGCAACGTTTCAACAAGATTTCACAAGTCGTTTTCAAGCATATATACACAAATAAATAAAATGAGAAAGATATGAATATATATATATAAACATCAGTGCGAACTATCCAATGGTATGCATGTCTTTAAATCTGATTGATTAAATGCTAAATTAGCACTAATCTTTAAATAGTAATAAAATGTAATTATTTACTTTCAATGTAATGGGTAATGAATGATATTGCTAAAAATGAGAAAGTAATTTTAATGCAATTGGTACTGTAATAATAATAATAATTTATTATTTATAATGCGCCTATTACCAATATAAAACACTCAATGCTCAATGGCGCAGTTAACATTTTGTGGACATCACACATAGAAAATAAAATAAAATTAAATGGATGATAAAAGAACTTAAAATGGCTTATAAAGATTATAATAAAATATGACATGTAATAAACAAATTTAAACTGTACATGTACTTAATTGGTCCCTCTTCTGTCCGGCTCATATTTTAGATGAGCCGAAACTGTTGTTATTATCTCGGCTTCATTGCAGCTCGGCTGACTGATCATTACACTATCTGAAGAATACAAAAAACTGTATATTTACTCTGTCAAATTTTGTAAATTATATAATTCAGTCCGATCAAAAAGGTGGTCCTAAAGCTGTAACAGATAATTCTGCATCCCATGAATTATGGACCAAAGGTGGCTTATTGGGTAAAACGCTGGCTCGCTTGTCTGGAGGTCGCATTTTCGATCCCTACATTTGCCGAGAAAGTTCAGTAGGCCTGACAAGGACAACTGTTAGTCGTTTGGATGGTATGAAAAACCGAGGCCTCGTGTACACATTGACGTGCAAGTAAAAGATCTCTTGGCAGTTGGAATTCGATATAAGAGTAGGCCATAGTGCCGCTGCCCGGGCAAATTTTTCCTTCATTGCACGCGGTATAGCGCATGCCCATCTTCATTAGCCTAGTCTGAGCAGAACAGTAGGACGTTAAACCCCATATGAATTATATTATATATGACCCAATAACACATTCTATATGAGACATCGCTTGTGTTATTACTTTCATATTCTCCATAAATTTGTACGTGTAAGAAAGGCATGGGTGTTAAATTACAAAAAAGATAGGTTGCCAGGCAACGAAACATACGCCCACAGCAGCTAAATCGTCCGGGCAGTCAACAAGAGTTGTCGCATATTTTTACTTTTTTCGGTAATGAAACATTTATAATACACTAAAATCTGATTAAGAGCAACAACTCAGAAAACCATTAGAATTTGTTTGGTTTTTATAAAGTTCTGCCCCATGCTAACGTTTTGTATACAAAACTTTTAATACTGTATCATGGATTTAGCTGTCCAAGTCATAAAGATAGGTTGCCAGGCAACGAAACATACGCCCACAGTAGCTAAATCGTCCAGGCAGTCAACAACAGTTGTCACATATTTTTACTTTTTTCGGTAATGAAACATTTATAATACACTAAAATCTGATTAAGAGCAACAACTCAGAAAACCATTAGAATTTGTTAGGTTTTTATAAAGTTCTGCCCCATGCTAACGTTTTGTATACAAAACTTTTAATACTGTATCATGGATTTAGCTGTTTCAAGTCATAAAAATTCATTGAAAATCAATATACTTGTTCGCCTCAAGATCTTAAACTCTGTGTATCAATCTGAAGTCAATCGGATATTAACTTTGGCCTCTAGAGCGTCCCCAAGATTTTTCAAAGTGATCAAGGGCCATAACTTTGGCAGTAATTATCAGAAATCTTTGAAAATTAATAGGATTCTTCGCCTCGTGACCTCAAACACTGTGTATAAATTTAAAGTCAATGAGATTAACTTTAGCCTTTGGAGCATCCACAAGGTTTTTTGAAGTGATCAAGGGCCATAACTCTGGAAGTAATTATCGAAAATCACAGAAAATCAATAGGCTTCTTCGTCTCATGACCTTAAACACTGTGTATAAATTTAAAGTCAATCGGATATTAACTTTAGACTCTAGAGCGTCCACAAGATTTTTCAAAGTGATCAAGGGCCATAACTCTGGCAGTAATTATCGTAAATTGCTGAAAATCAATAGGCTTCTTCGTCTCATGACCTTAAACACTGCGTATAAATTTAAAGTCAATCGGATATTAACTTTGGCCTCTAGAGCGTCCACAAGATTTTTTGAAGTGATCAAGGGCCATAACTCTGGCAGTAATTATCGGAAATTGCTGAAAATCAATAGGCTTCTTCGTCTCATGACCTTAAACATTGTGTATAAATTTAAAGTCAATCGGATATTAACTTTGGCCTCTAGAGCGTCCACAAGATTTTTTGAAGTGATCAAGAGCCATAACTCTGGCAGTAATTATCGGAAATCACTGAAAATCAATAGGCTTCTTCGTCTCATGACCTTAAACACTGTGTATAAATTTAAAATCGTTCGGATATTAACTTTGGCCTCTAGAGCGTCCACAAGATTTTTTGAAGTGATCAAGGGCCATAACTCTGGCAGTAATTATCGGATATCGCTGAAAATCAATAGGCTTCTTCGTCTCATGACCTTAAACACTGTGTATAAATTTAAAGTCGATCGGATATTAACTTTGGCCTCTAGAGCGTCCACAAGATTTTTTGAAGTGATCAAGCAATTGTGGACGCCGGACCGACGGACGAACGGACGGGGGCGAGGACAATATACGACCACATTTCAATGTCGGCGTATAAAAAGATCAACACTCATCGATGAAGTAATAAAAACTCGTGTATGCCCATACCATGTTTGATTATCCGATATTTAAGGATATGTTCGTAAATTGAGTATGATAAAAACAAACCTCGGACAACTTTGTAAATTTCTAAGTCCATTATGGACCGCCTCCTTTATTTCCCTTTAAATTAAATTGGGCCATTAGGGAATTAGACATCAACCTGTTAAAATAAAAAGACATACTGTTTATGCGTTTGACAATACCACGAATTTTGACTTTCCATTCCTTGACACCTAGAAATGGACATAAATGGGTTGCAACGCATATAATAATGTAATATGTTTGTATATTAACTGATTTACATTCAATCGTTTCTGTTTATACTGTAATGTCTAATCAGTTATGTTCGGCGAAATACGCGAAGAGAGAGAGAGAAATGGGGTTTAACGTCCACTTGACACAAACTTGGTCATTTCGGGACTAACACATGGTTCAATTTTATTTCAATAATTCGCTAGCGCGTAGGGGTCTTTTTAGCAGTGGGAGGAAACCGGAGGACCCGGAGAAAACCCACCAGGTTAGACAGGCGACCAAACTCCTTGTCACGTACAACCGGGGAATCGAAACCCCGCCAGTTGACTCAATGACAGTTGACTCAATGATACAGCGTGCGCGTGCTAACCATTCGGCCATCCAACCCCCCATACGCGTAGAGTCCAAATTGAATGCCAGTCTTTGGCGTCTTCATTCTTCGAGTCTCTCTATTACAAATGAAATTTGAAAGCATTCTTGCACGCGATTCGTGTGGCAATTTCAAAACTTTAACTTTGTGTTAAATATTGGACATTAGAAGCCCATCTTTTCACGGTTACAACATTGATGTTGGGTTTAATTAAACAATGAGTCCCATGGTTGCAATGTCGAAGACTGTGGATGATATTGAGTTAGAGACTTGACTCCTTTAAGACGAAGACGATTGGAAAACGAATGTACGATTATTTTATCAATTTGTTTTCAAAAGAAAGAGTACGACTTTAAACTGGTAACCACCAAGGCTCATCAGTTGGGTTACCTATAGCTATAACATGAAATAAATGAAACACATCTAGTATATTATTATATTTCAATCACTGTAATATTTACAATCAATGTCAGTTCAATTATGCAAGTGTATGCTCATGGATATTGATGTTGTACATTTAATAATAAAATTACTCTTCACTTGAATTAAATC